TACTCTTACGATAAACATAATGCCCTAAAATATAAAATATTCTCTCCCCCAAAGACTTCAATGCCGTAAACATATTTCATCCAGTTTTTCTCAGTCTTACCCCCATCCCGATGTCAGCCTCATTCTACAACAGTGCCACCATATAGCATTTGTCCTTGTTTCAATCCACCTGGTTGAGGGTCTTTCTCTTCTTTGCCGACCCTCTACCCTTAAAAGCATCATATCCCTCTCCAAGGAATAGCCCTTCCTAGCAACATGCCCAATGTATGTACTTTCAGACTGTTTTTATTCTATTTCAGATGATGCTATAGGAAACTGTAGTCTATACATGAGGCCTGATATATTTCCAACTCAGGCTTGCTGCTAAGGCCCATCCTTCAGGGTCCCAGCCCAGAAGAGGTGATTTCTTGAAGCCACTCCTTGCTCATGGCGCCAGACTCTAATCCTTGCTGTTCACCTAGACCTTTTTGAGATGGTCAAAATTACCCCTCAAAAACCAACAAATGCCTCCAAGAGGGGAAAAAAAAATATCTGGCTTCCTTCCTCGGCTTTTCATTCTCTCCAGTCCTAGTCTGGAAACTCTTCTTTAGATTGTAAGTTATCAGATGCCTTAGACATTCTGGTGAGTGGACGTGGATCATCTTTGAAAGTTATTCTGAGTGTGAACCAAATGATACGGACGGAAGAAGTCTCACTGCATTGGGCAAGCCCACTGTCAGGGACCTCTCTAAAATGCTGAAGAAAAAGGAGGTCAGTCTGAAGACTTAGGTGCCCCTGATTCAGGCCATGGTCTTCTCAATCACCTGCTATGCATTAGAGAGCTGGACAATGAATAAGAATGACAGAAGAACTGAAGCCTTTGAGCTGTGGTGCTAGAGAGAGTATTGAACATTTCACACACTGCCAAAACAGCAAGCAGGTAAGTCTTGGAAAAAAATACATCCAGGAGTGCTCCTTGCAGGCAGAGATGGTGAAGCTTCATCCTTCAGACTGTGGACATGTAGCGAGGTGAGATTAATCCTTGGAGAGAAACACCATGCCTGGAAAGATGGAGGGTCAGCAAGAGAGAGGAAGACACCAAAGAGATGAGAGATGACGAGGATGGCACAGGATAGGGCAGGGTTCAGGTCTGCTCTTCACAGAGTCGCTGTAAGTCATACTGGACTTGATGGCACCTAACAACAATAATACACTACCCAGGCCCTTTATCTGACAAGTCTGATTCTGAAAGTCTTTCTTCATTCCCTGCCTTTTCCCAAAATGATTTAAAAGTGGCTAATAATTAATAAAGGGAGTTTTGGAGGCCTAATGGTAAGGAGCTATGCTGCCAACCTGAAAGCACTAAGTTCAAATCCACTAACATCTCCTCAGGAGAAAGACAGGCGATCTACTCCCACCTGATTTACGGCCTCTGTAAAACCCTGGCGAGTCAGCTGAGTTGGTTCCGTTCAATTGCATGTAACAATAACTCACAAGGAAGCTTTCATGGCACAGTCCACAGGCAGCTGCACGGCCAGACCAAAGGCAGTGCCTCTCTGGTAGTTGGAATCCACCAGCAGCTCTGGGAGTAGCCAACGGGCACTCTGCTCCTGATTCACACTCTACCAAAAGCCCGCTGGAGGACTAGCTAGGAATTGACTCGATTCAATAGCAATGCACATGGTATAATTAGTAAGAGGCCACGTTGGCTCACTGTAAAAAGAACATGCATAAATGTTGTAGTAGGGGGTCACAGAAATTTTTATACGAGATAAATAAGTCCTTTAGGACAATTTTCTCTACACATGGCCTTGAGAAAAGAACTTAAACAGATACTATATTAGACATGAGAGTTTTGCTTTTAAGGCTTTATTTCTTTGCTATAAAAGTTGAAGGTATAATTTAAGTAGTTATGTCGAGCCCAGCCCACAAAGTCTGAAATCTCAACTGCTGTTGTGTTATGTACCTGAGTCAACTAGAACTCACAGTGATCGCATGAACAACAGATCTGAACGCTGCTCTATCCGGAGTCAACCTCGTCTCTGACACACCTGACTCCACTGCCAGTCACAGTTCAATCCATCTCATCCACGGTCTTCCTCTCCTGTGCTGACCCTCCACCCTCCCAAGCTTGATGTTGTTCTCCAAGGACTGGTCTCTCCTGGCAACACGCCCAAAGAATTTGAGAGTGAGCTTCAAAATCCTTGCCTCCACAGGGCAGTCTGGTTTCACCTTCTCCAGGACAGACCTGTTTGTTCTCTAAGCAGTCGTTGGTATGTTCAATACTCTTCTCTAGCACCACAACTCAAAGGCATCAAATCTTCGCTCATCCTTATTTACTGTCCAGCTCTCAGGTGCACAACAAGCAACTGAGAAGATCATGTGCACCTTAGTCTCTAGACGAGCATCATTACTCTTTAGCACACTGGTGCCCTAATTACTTAATAGAAGAGAGGATACACAATTTTCTGAAACGGATCTCTTTTCTCAAATCTCGTTCTTGAAAGGAATAACCCACTGCCCGGAGAGTTTCCAAAGCTGGAAATTTTACAGAAGCAGATGGCCTCAGCTTTATCCACAACGTGACCGGAGGGTTTTATCCACTTACTTTTTAGTTACCAGCCACATCATTTAACCACTGACTCACGAGGACTCACGAGACAAATAGGTGGTAATCTATACTACTTCCCTGGGATAGTAAACTTTGGACATCTAGTGTTAAAAAGAAGGTTTTACAATGAAGTCACATCTATATTTCTCATTGGCTGGGGGTGATATCTACACACATGAAGATACATAGCAGAAACAAATATTATGAAATTTAGAGCACAGAAGTTAAGTAACTTAACAGAATTTATTTGGGAAAAAGGTCTTAAGATATATGAACTGGTTTTGGATATATGTACCATATAATCTGGGGTATATTTCATTATATTGGAAAGACTAAATTACTCAAGTTTGCCCTTTGCCTTTAAACAAAGGGTTATGATTAGCATGCATAATTATTTAAATACAAAATCAGGATTTCTCACCAGGTACTTTGTGTTACTGCATACCATAGAGTCATAACTGTCCCACAGCTGACCCTCCAGCAGATTTTCAGAGGCAGCCAATCACACAGGAGGAGACTGCCCATCCTTCTCCCTTCAAGCAGCTGGTGGATTCAAACTGCGTGACCTGGTGATTGCAATGGAGCTTCTGACCACTAGGCCATGGGAGCGCAGGGATATGGCCAGATGCCAATCTTTCTGTTTAAGGCATCAAAGAATGGATTTTTCTACTGTTCAAGTTCAAATGTGTTGTTAAGTAACAGCTATTTCTTTTTCTTTGACAAACGCAACAGTCTACGATTACAGTTGTGTCCATTCTTCTTTTAAAATTAAATCATAATAGAAATATAGAAACCCACACTAACTGACCTGCAGAAGAAAATAACACACATTCTTGTTTTAATGTTGAAGAAAGTTCATACCTTGAAATGCTGAATGCCTGGAGATCTCTGCTCTTCAGATTATCTTCATCAGAGAGATTCTAGCATTTGTTTAAAAATAAAAGTAAAAAAACTTAGCACATTGTAACTGTTACATTCTATTTATCCTCAAGAGCTTACTGCTAGAGACCTCCAGGTTTTACAGGAAACATCTATCATGTTGTTACTGAGGATTATGGAGTGGAAACCGACCCCTAGCTGAGCCTCCAGCATGTTTTCAGAGGCAGTAAACTGCCTGGGAGGAGACTGACCATCTTTCTCTGGTGGAGCAGCTGGTGAATTCGAACCTCAGACCTCTTGGTTAGCAGCATAACAGTGTCATACAACCTTGAGCTGCACATCAACAGGGTCCTAAGGATACATAATCTCAAGAAACAATGTTCAAGCTAAATAGGTCCCGCTACCTGAGGACCAGCTGAACCTTTACTTCACCGAGCACACTGAGAATCCCCTAGGGACCCCACACATCTCTAAACTCACCCCCTCTACTAACCCAACTCTTAGCACTCCTCTGACCCAAGAGTTCTAGTGCCTTAAGACCAGCTGCTGGGAATATAAATATAATGGGACTCTGGAATTGCAGGAGTCTACAAGACAAGGAGCATAGGATCCGCAATTGCGCCAAGAACCATGTCTTCTCCAATACCAGGCATTAGTCAAAGGAGTTTCCTAATCAAATATTAAAAAGACACACTACTATGTCAGTGAAGAATAATAAATAATTCTGAAGATGCTAACAAATGTTTTACAGGAAGTGTATTATTTAAAATATTTGCAGTATTTTTAATATAAAAGCAAGACTGTTAAGGTTTCAACGAAGCTTCTAGACTAAGACAGACTAAAAAGCAGGACTGGCCACCCACTTCTGAAAGAACAGGCCCTCAGAGACCCTTTGGATAACACGACAGCACTGTTAGATCCAGTGCCCCTCAGTAAGGCACTCAAAATGCAAGTGGGGAACAGCTTCGTCCTCAAAGCAGAGTCTGCATGACAGGACAGACGGACTACAGCTTCCACCCAGTGAGGACCCTTCACTTGCTGACGGGATTCGGCAAGACTCAGAACTGACGAGGAACAGCTGCGAACACTCACCGGAACATGGGATGGATGACATATAAATGCGGGAAACTGAAAGCTGTCAAAAATTAAATGAATGCTTCAAGACCAACAAGCGAGGCATCAGTGGGCTGGGAGAGCCTGGTGTTGGTCACTCTGAATGTGAAAGTCAGAAGAACGGCTACGATGGGAATGGCAAAAGGAAGAATGGTGTCTCATTCACTGTCAAAAAACGGTATTCCAAGAACTATCCTGAGGTACAATGCTGTGAGCCACAGGGTATTAGCCATAGTCACACACAGAGTCTAACTATTACTCAAATATGCACACCAGCCAGTAATGGCAAAGACGAAGAAACTGAGCATTTCTATCTGCTTTTACAGTCTAAAACTGATCAAATACACAGTCTAATGGCCAAGTAACAAATGAGAACAGAAACTGAAAGACGGAATTTTGTACAGTGAATGATTTATTTACTGAAAACACTATTTTTTAAAAATAAGGGGACTTCCCACATGGACCTCACCTCCTGGACCACACAGGAATCAGACCAATCAGATCTGTGGAAAGAGACCCTGGAGAAGCTCAAGAGCAGTAGTCTAAACAACGCCAGGACAAATCATGGGACAACTGGTCAACTACTCACATGCAAGTTCAAATAGAAGATGCATAAAATGAAAACAAGGCCACCAAACCCAAAATACGACCTTGAGTCTACCCCAAATGAATTTGAAACCCATCTCAAGAATAGATTTGACATATTAAACCATCCTTGAACAAAGCAAAAGGTCATTATAAAGAGAGGAGAGAAAGAAAAGACCAAAATGATGTCAGAAGAGATTCCCAAGCTTGCACTAGAATGAAAAGAAGCCAAAACAAGGGGGAGGGAAAAAAAATAAAAGCCAAACAGAAGGTTACAAAAGACAGCTCAAAAACACAAAGCAAACTATTATCACAAAATGTGCAAGGAGAGGGAGCTCTGGTGGGCTACTGGCAAGAAGCTGCACTGCAATCCCAGAGGTATGCAGTTCAGATCCACCAGATGCTCTGAAGGAGAAGGAGGGGCAATCTCCTCTTGTACCAGTCAGATCCGATTTGACGGTACCCACGCCCACAAACAAAAAATAAAATTAAAAAACAAGGGGAGCTCTGGTGGACTAGTGGCAAGAAGCTGTACTGCAATCCCAAAGGTAAACAGTTCGAATCCACCAGATGCTCTGCCGGAGAAGGAGGGACAACTTCCTCCTGTACCAGTCAGATCTGATTTGACAGTATATGCACAAAAAATAATAAAATAAAATTTTTAAAAAATAAATTAATAAAATTAAAAATCAAAACAGAAAAAACACCCACCAAAATGTGCAAGGAGCTGGAGTTAGAAAATTAAAAGGGAAGAACACACTCAGCATTTCTCAGTCTGAAAGAACTGAGAAACAATTACAAGGTCCTGAGTTGCAACAGTGAAGGACTCTGTGGCAAAACACTGGTGATGCCAAAAACATTAAAAGAAGATGGAAAGAATGCAGAGTCACTGCACCTGAAAGAACTGGTTGACATGGAACCATTTCAGGAAGTCGTACTAGATCCAGAACCAACGGTGAGGAAAGGAGGAGTCCAAGCTGCCCTGAAGGCTGTCAAAAAATAAGGCCGAGGAGTTGAAATGCCAAGGTGGGCTTTTCAACAAATGGTAACCTTGGACAATCTCGGCCAACAAATATGAAGATGGGTACCTGGCACACTGACAAGAGGAAGGAAGTATCTGTACCCATTTTAAATATGGTGATCTAACAGAATGTGGAAACTATCAAAGAATACCATCAATACGACACACAAGTAAAATCTTGCTGAAGACTTAAAAAAATGCCTGGAATAGTACATCAATAGGGAACTGCCAGAAGGTCAAGCTGGATTCTGAGGAGGTCTTGGCCTAAGGGCTACAGGAAACAGTGAGAAGAATAGGAATCCTGAAGGATTCATAGTGTTCTTGTGACACCTACATTTAGACCAAGAAGCAGGTGTCTAAGCAAAACAAGAGAACACTGCACGGTTTAAAATCAGAGAAGGCTGTATCTTTTCACCATCTTCTATTGAACCTTTCTAGGTGCTCTGGTGGTCTGTCTAGTGGTAAGGAACTGCACTACTGCACTGCCAACCCAAGGGCAGGAAGTTCGAACCCACTGACTTTCATATCTTGAGAAAGATGGGCAATATTCTCCAGTGCCATTTTCTGCCTCAGAAAACCGGCTAAAGGACTAGCTATGAGTCAGCTCTGAGTCAACCGCACATAAGAATAGTACGCTGCCCAAATAACAGAAGAAGCTGGACTAGGTGAAGAAAAACGTAGCATCAGGATTGGAGCAAGATTCATCAACAACTTGCATTACGTGGACAATACAACTTTACTGGCCAAGAGTAAACAGAACTTGAAACACTGAAGAAAATCAAAAGACGACACCTTTCAATTTGGGTTAGATCTCAACATCAAGAAAACAAAAATCCTTACCACTGGACCATAGACAGTATCATGATATATGGAGAAAAGACTGACGTTTTCAATGATTTCATTTCGCTTACTACACAATCAATACCTGTGGTACAGCAGTCAAGAAATCAAAAGACGTGTTGCATGAGAGAAACCTGCTGTCATAGAACACTTTAGAATGCTGGGAACCAAGGATGTCCATTTAAAAACTAAGGTGCACCTGATTCAAGCCGTGGTCTTTTCAACTGCTTCCTACGCATGTGAAAGTTGAGCTATGTATGAATAAGGAAGACCGAAGAACTGATACCTTTGAACTGTGGTGTGCTGGTGATGGGTAAGGAGCATCCCATGGACCACCAAAAGAACAAATAAATGTCTTAAAGGATTCACAACCAGGGCGCTCCTGAGAAGAAGGATGGTGAAACTCTGTCTCACACTTTGGGCCTGTTGTCAGGGGGATCAGCCCTGGAAAAGATATGCTGGGAAATGAAGAGGGTCAGAGAAAGAGGGAGACTCTTAAAGAGACAGACTGACGTAGAGATTGCAACAACGGGCTTGCAGCCCAGGCCAGGGTTCAGATCTGTTGTTCCTAAGGTTGCTAGGAGACTAAGTCAACCTATTGATGCCTAATAACAAGAATTAAGGTTCAATAACAGAAACTCTTCTTTTCAGCCAGCTCTTATTTCCAGACACAAGGAGATTCTGGGCAGTATCATCACAAAATAAGATTTTAAAAGTACACAATCAAAAAAAAAGTACACAATCCATAATATTTTACTTCAGAACCCTTCATATATTAATATACTTTCCCTCACCCCTTTTCTGATTCTCCATGATTCGCCATAATTTTTAATTCATATCTTCTCTAACCCAACCCATAACTAAATCCTTGTTAAAATCTGGCCACAGTTTAATTAATCTTTTTTTTATATTCAAACATCTCATCTTCTCTACCCTCACAGTGATCTAGTCTCTGTGTTCAATTTCTTGCTTGCAAAAACTAAAACAAAGAAAGAGGGGGAAACCCAAAATGAAAAAGAAGAAAGTTTTTCTCAAGTGTCTTGTACATCTGAAAGTTTGTTTCGGTGGTTTTGGACACTAAATCTCAAAGCAAAATGTATTCCATGGCACCACCTAGTGGAAAAAGAGTACCTGATAAACTACAAATCTGTACGTGCAAAGCCTGAAAGAAGAGACCGCCCGACTAGTGGACTAGAACAGGCAGGCGCTAGCTGCCTCTGGACCAGCAACTTCCGGCCCAGCAATGCAACTCCCTACAGACTGTGCCCCGAGATCCCTAAATGTACACTGACACGTGTAAATGCACTGCATTCCTGGACTACCCTCATCTGTGTGCTTTGTTTAAAAGTTACGGAAAACACACTACCTGTTCTTCAGGCGCTCTGGTGGCCTAGTGGTTAAGAACGTGCACTGCAATCCGAATGCAGGTGGTTCAAATCCACCAGCTGCTCTGTAGGAGAAGGATGGGTAATCCCCTCCCGT